TGAGGACAATGCTGGAAAAAAAATGATTGTGTGGCTTTTGATACTCTCTTAGGGCTCTTCCTTGTCTTTCCGTGCAGAGCAAGCAGGAGTTTGGTTCTGCCTGGAGGAAGGCGAGTGCTACCGCGCTCCTCTCCCGTTTGGCAGAGCGTTGAGGTGGCAGGTGACTGGCAGCGCTCGGGCTTGGGGCTCTCCGGGCGGCCCGAGCGGCTCCGGGTTGCGTGTGCGAGGGCAGGGGGAAGGCAGCGGGGTGCGTCCTCCGAGCTCACTGTCCTGCTGCTAGCGGTTACTGCGCCAGCAAAGTCGGCATTAGCTGCTGGAACAGATGATTTCTAAAGAATTATTTGCATGACACGATTTAATACTTTTTTATAGCAAATTTTTAATTAAAAGGAGAGTCCTTTTGGAAGCAGGCTGAGCAGCTGCAGCTGAGTTCTGGTGTTTAATATGATGAGAGAAACAGCTGGGGTTGGAGCAGAGCACCCAGCTCGGGGCGGGTGTGGGCTGGCGCGTCCCTGCGGTGCCGGGGCAGGTCCCCGAGCGCGTGGCAGCCCTCCGTGCCCGTTCGCTCACCGCTTGCGCTGCCGCAGGCGACCGTGCTCGCTCTGCAGGCTGGGGGCTGTGTGTGTTTGGGTGCACCATGTGTGCATCTCCTGGAGCAGGGGAAGAGAGTGTCGGGCGGGCTTTAGTCCCCAGTTTTATTCAGCTGCTTCTTGCATGCACCATTTCCTCAAATACACCCCTCACGGCGTCTCTCTCTTCCTCCCTTTCCTCACGACAGAGGCGAGCGCTGTGTGCTGTCTGCTCGGGAGCTGTGCAGCAGCGAGGCTGTGGCTCTTGCTAATGAGTAGCTGACCTGCGTATCACAGCCCGCAATCCCCACGCTCCCGGGACGCTGGTGAGATTGCATCGCTCAGGCTGTCTGAAAGAGCTGCTGCGTTGCAATTACCAGGACACAAGAGACAAACGGAATTGCCGTTTCTGCCAGGTTGCACTGGCTCTGCTGCAGGTGCAGTTTGAGGTAGCAGTCTCCCATGCCTGCTGACTTTCTCTCAGCCTAAAACTCTCTGCCTGACAGTCTGCAACAAGTTCTCTTTGGTTAGTAGTTGTTCTGCTACTGCTCGCTACTGCCCTCATTTTGATTTATTAGTTCTGAAGTTACCTGTAAGACTTTTAGTCATGTGAAATTAGATGTTGTTATGAACGTACAAGCGCTGTGTTCTTGGTGTGGACGGACTTCTGTTTGTACTCTGAAACATCAGGCAAGCTCTTTCACCATATCCTGTAACAGCTTTAGTGCCTTATTGCCTGGTTCCTCACTTCTGTTTTCTTCTCTTTTATTCCCCTGTCCTTGGCTGGTCTTGCTTAACTTTGTAGCAAGTGCTCTTACATCAGTGAGCTCTTTAGCATGGGAAGAGTCATCCCGTGACCTTGAGTGTATGTGGGGTTGGCAGGGATGGACTTCCTGTGCCTTATGGAAGGAAGTATGGTTTGAATTGCTTCTTCAGGGCCATGGTAGCAATTAATAGAAATGCCTCATCTTCTGGTGCAATATAGGGAGTGAAAACAGGTTTCTTTGGCAAGTCCTAGACTTTCTTGTAGTTAGTTGGATGGAAGACCTTGTGTTTCCATTGTGTCCCAATTCCTTCCATCTGGGATTGATCCTCTTTTTGCAGTGTGTGCATTTGTGCCACTTGTTGTATGAGGCATAAATATCACTGCTGCCCTATGCAGAGCAGAAAAGGGACCTGCAATTTTTTTTTTAGGAAAAGCAGAGATAGATTAATACTTTATTTCTCCCATTTTTCTTGTCCTGGTTGTTCCATTTTTGACTCCTTCTCCTTCTAGCATCTATAGATGACTT